TGAAAGTTCAATTCACATGTTACTTTCGGAACCAAAAAATACTTTTGTCGATGAGAGAGCGCTACAGGAACTCCCTTTCAGAGTTCGGAAAACTTTCAATTAAGTGAATGATCCACTGATTTTCAGGCTTAACGATTTGTGTTTGTTCCTACTTTCGGCTCGCCTCTGAGTTTCAGAACTGAATGTTTTGATGTCCTTGATGTGGTTGTATATCGAAGTGAGTTTAGACCTCACATCTCTGCACTTCTACGTGTTCCAGAGCTCGAGTGTTCATTTTCGAGCTTAATATCCCTCTTTAAGCATTCGCTGCTCACTTGTTTGAACTGGCGTTTTCCTTTCAGACCTAAGGTCAATGTCTCGAATTTTATTTAGTAATAGTTTTTCTCTAAATTTTGCCTGAGGGAACACTGTTTTCTTCGCTAGAAGTATGGATTCACGAGAAGCATCGAGATTACGTGAAATATGAGAACCATCATTGAAGCCGTACCGAATTACTTGGTTTTCCTGACTTCTACACTTTCTAAACAGATACATTTATAAATCGCAGTGAAACAGTATTTTTCGAATAAATTATATCATGAGAGGTAGGAGCATGTGACGCTGACAGTGTTGTTTCTTTGCCTGAATGTTAATTTTTCAGTTGACATGAAGTCAGGGGCGAAACGTTTCTCTATACTGTTTTCTGCCGATTTAGGGACCTTGCACACCAAAATGACGAGGCAGAGACGAAATCCATTGAAGGCGAAGACATGTCAGTGGTAAGTGTGGCATTTTGTGAGCAACTGACTTATAACCGTTGAAACAGCTTTATTGATCAACAGGGCTTAATTTGCATATGGTAATGCAGGTTGGTTGCAAATTAATGTGCAGCAGTAGATTCACAGTTTCTATTACCTTCATTTTTTGATTTTCTGCTCACTGATTTGATCGTCGAATTATTCGTAGTGTATATATCCATCCACGAAGGTATCTTCATTAATATTATCACCATCATTATCACGATCATATCCATTTTAATAGGAATCGCCATCGTCGTCTTTCTGATCACCCTCGTCGCTTATAAATTAGTTCACCATAATTACAGTAACCTTTCCCGTCATTACCATACCATCAGTTGTTGTCTTCGGTCCATTTGCCAGACGACATTGTATTGGACATTTGACAGGTGACAGCTTCTGATCTTGTGCTATTCTCGTGGCGTAAACGTGAATGATGTTAGTTTGTGCCAGGTGTGTGACATGATCGATTCACCGCGATGTACAGCCTCTTCATGATTTTGATTCCAGAGTATCAAGCCTTAAAACAGCATTTTCTCGAGAAACTTTTCCATTTCTTATCATAATGTAACCAAAGTATCATGCAGTCGCTCAGCTTTTCCTCATCTCTTATTATGCAGATGAAGTTCGGTATTCCTCCTTTGTATCATTATACAAATGCTAAACGGAAAAAATTTTAGGAAGAAGGCCAAACCATGGATTGCAAACTGAAGTTTGTGATGAAGCTAGTTTTGTCTAGGATGGATTTAGCTGGAAACGACGACGTGCATTCCCCTACGCGCTCTGGAATTGTTAACGAAGTTCTTGACGAACATTACGACACTTCTGTGAAGCATATTGAAGACAAGGGTACAAGTTTTAAGCTAGTAACAAATCTGACTTTAATACCTTTCGACACTTCATTGCAGATGCTTTCAAAGACACGTTCCAACTGGTTCTTGCCGAAGTGTTGTGGAAACTAAAGGCCTCCTTGCCGTCATCGTTGAATCCTGATGTTCACCATTCGACCTCGTCCAACGGCAGCGCGTTGAAGGAGACCGGCGTTAGTACCGGCGATTCTTCAGTAGCACTATTTCGTTATTTGATGGCCTGCTACAGCAGAATGTCAGATTTCGTCGTCACTGCTGTATGTCGGTTATCTCAGTTGTCATTCTACGATGGCTAAAAGTGGTGTTGCTTTTTTCAGGCTGTTGGCAGCTTCGAAAAGGACTGTATAAAATCGTCATTACCAATCGTTATCGACAATATTTTGCTGTTATTGCGACCAAGCAGGCTAATTTCCTCATCCAGGTATGTCATTTTTAAAAAGAGGTTTTCTTCAATGCGTTCGTTTTACTCTTTACTAATAGTAGAGAGAATTTATACGCCGTGCTGATCAACAGCATATTCAGTCACTACGTGTCCACGTCGTTTCTTACCGATCTTGCAACGCAGGTGCTGCAGCGAGGAACCGATGATTTTAACAAGGTATGTTTATCATCGTAGCCATGCTCTTCTTTTCAGTAACCGTTGGCACTTCTCACAGGTATTTTGGCCCTTGTTTGACGCTCTTTTGCGTACGGCCATCGCGTCGTCGCTGTCCTCAGATGATGCCAGACGGCCCATTATGGTTCTCGGTGAGCTGTGTGACTTGAAAATCGGTAGTCAGCGCCCGTTTTGCACCAGTGTAATTCAGACGATACGTAAGTAGCTCATCGGCGGCTCTTATGCAGTGTTACACGGTTTTTAGCTGTGCTCTCGGCCTGACTGGCTGCCCGAATGCTTGTCCGCTGCCAAAGGACGCGAGATCTGTAGAACGTCGTATTTGGGCCCGTTCCTTTGCATTTCTGCGTTCCCTTCGGATGACGTTAGTTTCGTCGTCCTTGCGTAAAAATTTTCTCCTGCAATGCTGTTTTATAGTGCAGAGTGTACCGCAGTCTTCCAATGGAGGAAATGACAGAGGAAGATTTTCAGCCGACATTTATGACTTTCCGCAACCGCCTTGAAAGCCTGCGGGTAGAGCTCTTAGCCCCGCCGTTATCTACTTGTTTGTTTTGTTCAGCTTAGAATCATTGTCTTCTTTTCAGCTGGCGGCGTTCAGCATCTGCCACAACTTGCTGGTCAACGCAGACAGTCGAATACTGGCGATGAACTACTTCCAAGTTTCGATCGAAGCTAACTCGAAAAGTTCGAACATGCTGGTAATTAATTAACGGCGTTTTGTGTTCTACAGTGAACTCACACTTTTCACTGCACATGCTCAGCTAAGGATATGTTCATATGAATTTGTTTGTTGCTTTTAATCATTAGTGTTCGCTTTACCGAGCTGCAGCTGCTTACGATTCATGACATTCGTTCATCTCAGTATTTTCCATTTTGATATTTGGATGTGCTACTGCTTCAGAGGAACATAATTTACTTCCTTTGCCATGCGATTTGTTGACCACTAGTCCTTCGTCGGTCAAAGTTCTCCTTCCGGTTAAAGAAATGATCTAGCGTAGCCTTGCAATTTTTTTGTTGCAGTTACTTGGACGCGTTTCATTCTCTCTCTGAGCACTTCTGAGATGTCTGCCAGTTCAGGCGGTGCAAAAATCTAATCGTTCATCGTGCTGTCATTTGATCTTGAACAGGCGTCTCGGTCAGCACTGTTCAGTGGACGTATATTTTGATAAACGCAACCGTTTAAAGTCCGTAGATCTGAACAGGTCTGGGAGCAGCGTGGCTGCGATGGATCTTGATGCAGACAGTTATACATTTTCCAGTCGAAATTTTGGAGAGGCATTTGAAAGTGGAAAAGGCTGATCGAAATCATCTGTTAAAGTCATAAACACGATCGTTCATCGTTCAAGAGGAGAGTGTCGAGGTATTTAAACTGTGGATTTTCTTCGGCGACGCTCTCTTTGATATCGACTGTTCCATCTGGCTTGTTCATCACTTTTTACTTCGATAAGTTCAGCTCGAGGGCAGCTTTCTGCAAGCATGCATATCACTTGAGATGGCGAGCAAATGCCTTCATTACTGTCGCGTAGGAAGACAACGACAGCAGCATTCAAGTGTGTATGGTGCCTCACGAGATATTCTAAATTTGCCTTCGTTCCAACATGAGACCATCCTCACAGTGCCCTTCGGTGCTGTTTCGTAGACTGTGATGTATTGCCGTGCCAAAAGTGAAGGGCAGAGTACAGCGTATCCCTAATGTCATTCTTTAAATCAGAGGGACATGGCGACTACTATTTAACAATTGCTCAAGTCAGATTTCTTACAGATCATTAGCATTTTAAAGAAACCACGAGTCATTTACTGGTTAACGTAACCCACGGTTCGCGGGTATTCCATAATCTGTAGTGTGTCCTCTTA